ATAGATGTTTGTTCAATACAATTCATCAAGGTAAAATCTCCCCTCACCTGAGGCCTCATTTTGCAGTAACACTATTTCTATGTCTCTAAAAAGCCAGAGCAATTTTGAGGAAAGCAGGTATGTGAAATACGCCATGGAAAATGACTTTTGGTATATTTTCAAATCTGCCAAGGCTGCTTGCCCATTAATAATCACAGTGTTCCTCAGCTAGGATGCTGGTAAGCAAAATTAGGTGCACCATGGCAGCATCTACCGTCATAAGCTTGCATCTCAAGGACTTGGGGATTCCAGAACGGCTGGGCAGTGGGAAGAGGATGGCAGGGAGAGGAAAGCATTCGCCAAAGTTCACGACACAGACTGCAGCAGCAAGTTTTGAAAAGACACTGCAAGGCAGTTCCCTCAGCCGCAGAACAAAGGAAGAAGCCCTCCCGTGCGATTTTGCAGGGATGTTGCCATTTCAATGCCCCTGGAAAGGATTATGGGTTAACTGAAAATCTTAAGCTGATCCTCTTAATTTTGTAGCGAGCACCTGGGCCAAAGGAACATTAAATTGAGCAATATGGATTAGGCTTAGAGGAAATGAAAATTCCCAGAAGAAAATTTCTAAAGGTCCCAGTTTCAGCTTTGTAGGCCTGATTCCCCCGTGGGTGATTCACACCGCAGGTAAAAGTTTGGACGTGCGTTTGAGAGCTGACACCTGCATCCTCCCGAGTACGGCTGCTGTGGTTCAAGTCAAAGACAGGGTGTCACAACTGATGAGTTATACTCACTCAGGAATGAAAATTTTTATTTGTTATTGCTCCTGGGTCAAAACCAGTTTGATTTCCATAAATTTTACTTTTCTTAAGAGAAAATCAAAGTAAGTGAAACAAGCAGGTCTTTGGCAGAATCTCACAGGAAACATTCAAAAAAATAAAAGATGAGAAGGGGCACGTTGAAGGGAGCAGAAAAGGCTTCAGGGTTGATGTAAGTGTGACCACTTGGTCAGCTGCGGTCAGAAGGTGAAGCGGACCACTCCTGACCTCTGGGCCGCAGTGCCGTCAGGTGTCTGCCCCTGAGCGGCATGGGCTGGGAACCAGGGCACCTGATGTGGACTGGTGTCAACACTGCTCTGACTCTGATGGAGCTCTAGTCTTTCCACTGACTGCGTGGCCTTGGGTGGGTCAAGTCACCTCTCAGCCTCATTCTGCATGATCTTGGGGGCCTCTTAGAGACCAGTTTTCTGGAAGCTCAGGATGGGTCTGCCCTGGCCCCATGCTTTGCAGACCATGTCCTGCGTGCATGGCGCGACTTCGCAGTGGCACTGTGTGCTGGCACTGGGACCTCCCTTTTCTAGAGCGATCACCTTGGCCTCCTCCTGACTCCACACCAGCTGGCACAGCACCAGGCTCCTGGAACTTCTGTCCTCAAGAAGAGGTTCTGCCATCTTTCAGTTTGGAACTTGCCATCTGTGCCTTGCCCTTCCTACCCTGCTCCTGGCAACTTCCCTCTCTTGCTCCTCTGTGCCATGCCATCACTACATGCCAAGGTTGCACAAACACCAGTGACAGCAGGTGCAGGGGCGAAGGAGAGAGAAGCTGGCTGTGTCTTGGTACATGTTAGTTGGAAGACATGGTGATGCTCTTGGTTTGGTCAGTGAAGGAGTCGGTGAGCTGAGGAGTCACAGGTGCACCTGCATGGGCTGGTGTCAACACTGTGGCTGTGGGGTCCCTCCCTCAGTGACCGTGTACCCTAACAGTGTTCTACAGATCACTATGTGACATTTTGGTGGGGTTTTTTTTAGCTGAATTATATATTTTTTTTCTTTTCAAATTATAATGTTTCCAGAGTGATTTATAGCTGAGTTTTTAAGTCCCTTTCAGCCTTATGGTTCTGTGAAATTTTTTCATATAAAGTAACAAATTGGAAAGCAACGAACTTTTGTAAATTTCACTTCATTCTCTTTGCTGACTACAATTCAAGAGGAAATGCACTGTGGGAGGTGGACGGCCTCAGAAAGAGGACAGAAACCTGTACAACTGCATGGAGTCCCGGGGCCTGCCTTCTATTTCATTCAACTCTGTCTGCAAACTTTTATCTCCCATATTCTTTTACATCATTTGAGTCTTTCTCTTTTGCCTCATTTCTCTCCATTATCTTAATTTTTTTCTCTTCCCTTTGTATCCCCATAACCGACCCCCCATATTCTTTCTCTTTTCTTTTAATGCAAATGTGCTTGTTGGAAATAAATTAAAATATAGGGGGGACATAGAATATAAGTAGTAGAATTGTAGG